ACATCGCTGCAGAAGTACCGACCCAGTGTTTACAAAGTGAACGTGCAAAGAAGGTCCAACGCCCTTTACAAAAAACGGTAAAACAGCGATGTAGTACGATTTAGAACGATTTTGAAGTTGGAGGAGAAAATGAGGTGGGAGTTTTCTGATATATTCGATATACCATGAACCGGAATGCACAGAGTTCACGCAGAATTAGACAAGACGAGCGTTTGAGGTTAAAGAGGTTAAAAAGTTCTACAAAAAAGTAATTTCTCAAAAGAAAATTGAGGAAATTTTAATTCAGAAGTGAAATAATCCTTTAATAGATAAAAAAATGAATCCTTTTTAGTAAGTGTTTTATTTAATTTTTTTTATAGCTTGACTTTAAAGTAGACTTAAACCTCGTAGTTGTGACTGTGTCTCAGTCACATTACTTTTACACTGGAGTTTTAGAAATTCAGTCAAACTGAATAATAATAATAATAATTTTATTATTATGTTTTAATTATAAAAATGAAAAAAGAAAGTAAAAAAAAAATATGTGAATTGTGTAAATAAAGTAAACCCAGCCCATGTTGTACATTAAAATCTCAGCACATGTAGAGATGGAATTCACTGCATTTACTGTGAACCGAGTTGCTCTGAGATGCTGAAAACACTGGATCATAAGCTGCTCGCATGTAAATGAACACAGTGCTGCACTTCACTCTGAAACACGCAGCGCATCAAACTAAACAGTTATTTAATTAAATCGCAGACATTGATTTATGATAATCACACTAAGCTACATGATTATTGTGCAGCCCACTTTATTTTTTTATTTTACATTCTGTATAATTATTTAATCCGTTTTTAATCAAATCTTGAACCCCATACAGTTGTGATGTCCTATTTGGTAACCCTGCACTATACTAATGGAATGATTCATCTAGTCTATCCTCGTAAACACAGTCGTTTACGTCTTAAGCAAACTGGGTCGGTACTTCTGCAGCGATGTAGGACGATTTTGAAGTTGGAGGAGAAAATGAGATGGGAGTTTTTCGATATACCCTAACTGTCATGAACCGGAATGCACAGAGTTCACGCAGAATTAGACAAGACGAGCGTTTGAGGTTAAAAAGTATATAAATTTTATTTTTTTTTTGAAAATGACAGATCGTTTCGCTAGATAAGACCCTTATTCCTTGTCTGGGATCGTGTAGAACGCTTTGAAGCTGCACTGAAGCTGCAATTTGGACCTTCCACCCAGTGAACCCCACTGAAGTCCACTATATAGAGAAAAACCCTGGAATGTTTTCCTCAAAAACCTTAATTTCTTTTCGACTGAAGAAAGAAAGACATGAACATCTTGGATGACATGGTGGTGAGAAAATTGAGGAAATTTTAAAATTCAGAAGTAAACTAATCCTTTAAGGATCGATCACGGTACAAAATCGTCAGATCGCCCATTTTTATATTAAATCATAGGGCTTTTAACAACCTGATCAAATGGATAGAAATAATTCCCACCATGCACTTTGAATCTCATGTCATTTTACAGACATAAAAAGGGATTTTCTTGTTGACTTCAATATATTTCTAAATATATATGTATAATAGGTTTGTTAAATTGCTTGTTTGTTATTTCACCAAGTGCACAAGTATCTGTTCTCATCATGAATGTGGTTGCACTAGAACTCAATGCGGTTCAGCTATAACAGTTGAGCTGCTGCCCAAATGCTGATGGTACTTTTGTGAAATGATATTTTCAAATCGTTGGGGCTCATTGATCTTTTCCAAGTTTCCAATATCAGAGAGCTTCACATCCTGTTAAAGCAGGACTGGCTGTGATACTAAGACAATGATTTGGATGAGTTCTTATGAAATAGGAAGAAAGGACTTATTCTTTATGTCTTGTTGTGTAAACCAGAATGGAGTAGGTGAAAGGTGCAAGGAGGGCACGACTCCTGGGAGATTTATTATTAAATGTGCTAAGAATAAAATACAGTGGGCCAAAATAGTATTTGTACTTTTTTGGCCTCGCTTAAAAATGCATGAATTTTTGCATTAGATAATATGCAACCAGATAGCATTTGCAAACAAATTATGCTAGCTCTTGTAAGAGGTCGCATTTTACCCCAGAATTCTAAGAAAATGAAAATTTGATCAAAGAAAATGAAAATGGAGTACAATAATAATAACAATAATAATAATAATAAAGGAAAATGTAATAAAAATAATTGATTACATCAAAGTATTTATTATTATCCTAATTGGACGAAATGCAAGTTTTTTCTTTTCTTTGTTCTTTTTATTTTATTTTATTTTATTTTATATTTATTTATTTATTTATTTATTTATTCATTCATTTTATTTATTTATTTATTTTTTTAAATTTTTGCTAAGGTCTGGCAATGACAAATTTTTATGTTTATTTGTGTGAGATATCTCACTACTTGTCTGGATGAGTAATATTTTTCTCTTCTCGTACAGGTTAACAGGATTTCAGGTGCCAGCGCCTGTCACAAGTACCGGATCCATATTTTCCCTGCGTCTTACCAGCGACTTTGCTGTAAGCGCCCATGGATTTAAAATATATTATGAAGGTAAGGAGCATAACACAGCCTTTAATTTTCTTTGCTATTCATCATGGGTTTTGAGTTTGGAGATGCTAATTTACACTGTAGCGGTCAATTAAAATTTTTCTTCATATAAGTGTTTGACAGCAGGCAGTAGGCATAAAGCTAGAGAAGTGAAAAGCAATGTATTCATTCCTTAATACTCTAATAATAACTATTATTAAAGGGAACGAGTTTTTCTTGTATAAGTCAAATTCGTTTTGGAAGACCACTTTTTCCACCCTTGATCGTGTTTGCTGTTGTAGGATCTCTATATGTAAATGACCTATGTTAGGATTGGCTCACACGCTCTTTCTTTGCACTGCCCCATCCTTCAATAATTTTAGTTAGTTTAGTTTCAGTAGCATTTTAGTTTAAAGGGGTCATATGATGTTGCTAAAAAGAACATTATTTTGTGTATTTGGTGTAATAAAATGTGTTTATGCGGTTTAAGTTAAAAAAAAACACATTATTTTCCACATACTGTACATTATTTTTTCTCCTTTATGCCCCGCTTTTCTGAAACGCATTGATTTTTACAAGCCAAACAAAGTAGTTTCGCTTTCACAACGAAACACAGCATCACACAGAGCGGCCTTGAGTGAGCGGAGGCCTGCGGCTAGAGTGAGCGGAGCGAAGGAGCGGCCGGTGGGCTTGCGGCAACCACATGTGACGACCCCGGGCTGGACTCCGCTTCGTCCACGGTAAAAGCCGATCCGGCGATCCACAGCGCGAAGTTGATGTATTTCCTCAGCGACCAGCACGGATCAGCTCTAGGCATGACGAAGCGGATATCGTCCTCTTTTGGAAGGCCAAACAAAGTAGTTTCGCTTTCACAATGAAACACAGCGTCTTCACGACATGGCGGCAGCAACAATACTACAGCGAGAATAAAAGTTACGCCTTCTTTCTTTGCGTGAACATTTGGGCGGCGTTATGCAAATATTCCCACATCATGACGTAGACATGTGGGGGCGTTAGAATGAGCCGTTTTAGGTAGGCGTGGTTGACTCTTAACTTTTATAAAGAATATCTCTTTGGATTTGAGACTTTAGTCTTTGCAACTTTACAGATCTTCTTTATGCACCAAGAGCTTGTAACACTCCAAAGAGAAAGGAAAAATTGAAATCGCATCATATGACCCCTTTAAACTGGAAAAAGAAAAAAAGGTAAAGGAAAATCTTTAAATGTTGACTTTACAAAGCCTTGTCTGAAAGTTTGTGAGGTCATTTGAGTAACTGTTTTCAAGTAGGAGAATTATTAGCCTTTTGTAGTTCCAATAGTTTGAGAGTTCCAAATGAATGCTAGTTCTTTGTTCAGGTTGTTAATTTGCTACAGTGTTGCTAGATGGCTGCTAGGTTGTTTCAGATGATTGTGAATTCTTTGTTCAGGCTGATAATTTGCTAGGGCGTTGCTAGGTGGTTACTAGGATGTTCTGGATGATTGCAAGTTCATTGTTTAGGCTGTTGATTTGCTAGGATGTTGCTGAGGGGTTGTTAGGAAATTGTTGGTGGTTGCCAGGGTGTTCCAAATGATTGCAAATTCTTTGTTAAGGCTTTTAGTTTGCTAGGGCATTTTGGGTGGTTTCCTTGTTCCGAATGATTACTAGTAGGCCTGTCGCAGTAATCAATATATCGACTTATCGCGCAATATATGTACATGATCGCAATAATTTTTGGTGACGCAATATATCGCACATTATATTTACTTAAAAATTTATGTCACCATGTTTTGTACATTCCACTTGCGCTTGTGTCTTTTGCAGCTTCTGGTACATAACGTCTTAAAAATTAAAAGTTTGTTGTCATTTGGAAGTGTGTAGGCCTTCTTGCATTATTATGCTGTTACATTATGATTATATATTCAGTGGCATAAAATGGTCTTTAAAATGACAATAATATCGCTTATCGCAATTATTTCTGGGGCAATATATCGCACAACAAAAAGTTGTTATCGTGACAGGCCTAATTACTAGTTCTTTGTTCAAGCTGATAATTTACTAGGGTGTTGTTAGGTGGTTGCTAGGGCTGTAACGATTCACTCAACTCATGATGCAATACGATTCACAATACTGATTTGACAATACAATTTTCGCACTTTTTTTTTTTTACAAAATGAGATTTAAGACAAATTATAAATGAAATTATGTCTTTTTTAATTGCTTGGACAAAGTGCTGCACATTTCTTTGTGAAACTGAAATATTGAATTGAAGGTGGCACTTATGGAACAGCGGCAATATTGCGTTTCCTTGGTTGCCGCTGCAAACAAAGCAGTGCTGCGCTTATGAACACTACTTTAATATGCATTATACAGAGGCAAGATGAAAAGAAAATACCATCTAAACTTTTCCGAAGAGAGCCAGTTCCCCTCAGAGATACATTCATGTAAACTCCCACCCCCAACTGTATCATGATTTGTTTAACATCTCAACTGACTTGAATTGTCATATATTTGTATCGATTTTCAACCGGCTCTGGGTGCATCGTTACAACCCTAGTGGCTGCTAGGTTGTTCTGTATGTTTGTAAATTTATTGTTCAGGCTGTTAATTTGCTAGGATGTTGCTGGGTGGTTACTTGGGAATTGTTAGTGATTGCTTGGGTGTTGCTAGACAGTTGCTAGGAAGTTTTTGATGGTTGCTAGGGTGTTCTTGATGATTTTTAGTTCCTTGTTCAGGGTGTGGGTTGTTAGGGTGTTGCTAGGGAATTTTTGGTGGTTTCTGTGGTTGCTAGGGTGGTTTAAATTCTTTATTTAGGCTGATAATTTGCTAGGGTGTTGTTAGGTGGTTCCTATGGTGTTCTGTATAATTGTAAATTCATTATTCAGGCAGTTAATTTTCCTAGGATGTTGCTAGATGTTTGCTAGGGAGTTGTTGGTGATTACTTGGATAATGTTAGGCAGTTGCTAGGGAATTGTTGATGACTGATTTTTTGTTCCTTGTTCAGGGGAATTTTTGGTGGTTGCCAGGGTGTTTCAAATGATTACAGTTCTTTGATTAGGCTGTTAATTTGCTAGAGCATTGTTAGGTGGTTGCTAGGGTGATCTGTATGAATGCAAAATTATTGTCCAGGCTGTTAATTCATTAGGGCATTGCCTGGGAATTTTGGGTGGTTGCTAGGGTGTTCCTGGTGATTGCTAGTTCTTTGTTCAGGCTGTTATTTGTGAGGGCATTGCTAGGCGGATGCTAGGGTGTTCAGAGTGATTGCTACAGTATCAGTGTGTTCTGGACGATTGTTAGTTCCTTGTTCAGGGGGAGGGCTGCTAGAGACAGACAGATAAATAGACATAGTCAGATGGGCCGTACAGCAGACAGATGGATGTTAAAATCATTCTGTGTTGCTTGAAGTACGATTAGCTGGAAAGGTGAAAGAAACTTGAGTCAGAACATCTTGTGCTGAGTTTGATGGATGTGTAGTTTTGAATTCTGAAAGTTAGAATTTGTCTCCATTGTGAATCAGACTTTATTTCAAAATACCAAGGAAAATCAGATTTTCCATTATATGTACCGCTAATGTACAAACTAAAAAACGCTAATGTTGTCTGTCTCTGGTCAGCCTAGTTTTGGATCACTTATTTCAGCCCAAATAACCAACATACCCAAAATGGAATTGTTTAATATCTGAGCAGATGTTGTGCAGTGCCATCAAGTTTATTTCAGCCTCTGGCCGTGATTGGTTGAGTTTGCAAGTGTCTGGGTCATCTACACCCTCAGTGACTGTCATTTCTCAACCAGTCGCCATCTTCCATCACTTTCTCCACCTGTTATCCTCCTGACCCCTGACCACAGCATGCCGCCCCATCTGCTCCATCTTTACAGTCTGAATTATTCAGTCCCATTGACCAGCCTGGGCCTTGGCTCATGCTTTTGTGTTTAATGTGCTTCTGAATTGTATGGGTTTTGGAATATTAATCCTGCAGGTTATTGTACTCCAGAGGGCCTGGGATTCCCACTGAATTCACAATGACGTTGTCTCATTGTCATTCATCTCCATAGATTGATGTACGTAATTGAAGAATTCGAGGCTGTTTTAAAGTCTAATTTGGAGCATTTTTATGAAGAAATGGGCATTAATAGGTGTTTGCTAGGGTATTTTGGATGGTTGCTAGATGATTATTGCCAAGTCTCTTACTTGTAAAGTCTGTTGACCACCATAATGCTCTTGGGGGTCTATTGGTCCCAACTTTAGTGCAAAGTCCAAAGAGCCCACCTGGTCTCAATGATTTTTTGCATGGTTTGTAGGGTGTTGTAGGTGGTTTCTAGGGTAATTTTTTGAATGGTTGCCGGGTGATTGCCACCAGATCTCTATGAAATTCTTTGGGGTCTGTGGGTCCCAAACTGGGTCAGTGAATGAAAAGATCCCACCCTGATCTCTATGATGTTTTGCATGGTTTGCAGGGTGTTTTAGGTAGTTGCTAGGTCTTTGCTAGGGTATATTGGATGGTTTCCATGTGAGTGCCCCCAAGTATCTATGAAAGAACCCAACCTAGTCTCTTATGATGTTTTGGAGCAGTTTATAGGGTGTTTTAAGTATTTGCTAGGTGGTTGCTAGAGTATTTTTGGATGGTTGCTGGGTGATTGAAGTCTCTTTGATATTCCTGGGGGTTTATGAGTCCTAACATAAATCAGTTTTTTTTTTGCATGGTTTTTAGGGTCTTCTAGGTGGTTGGTAGGGTATTTTGGATGGTTGCTAGATTGCACCAAAGTCTCTTTGATACTCTTGGGGGTATATGGGTCCCAACATGGGTTAATAAGTGAAAATGGCCCACCCTGGCTTCTATGATGTTTTGTCACCATTTGTAGGGTGTTCTAGGTAGTTGCTAGGGTATTTTGTATGGATATATAGGTGATTGCTAGGTGAATGCTTTCAAGTCTCTTTGATATTCCTGGGGGTTTATGAGTCAAAACATGGTTCAATGAGTCAGAAGTACCCACCCTTGTCTTCATAATTATTTTAGTCCAGATGTTCTAGGTAGTTTCTATGGTGTTT